GCCATCCAGAGTAAGAATCTGGTTAGATACCATATTTCTAAGCTTTTCAGCGCCGAGTACAATGACCTCAGTTTTATCTGAGTTAAGAAGCAGTAATACTAAACACTGTTACAATTCAATATATACACAACAATGAAAAGGATACCATTTAAGAAGGTTAGAAGACAGTGCTCTGGAAACTGGGATTTGCAATGGATTATGGGATGAGTAGTTCCTTCACCACTAAAAGTAATTGTTTACACAATCTTATACCTTTTCCTGTTTTTTTTTTATTAGCATTTTTATCCAGGGAGGGGCAGCCTCTCTCAAAGTAGCAAATGTATGTTGTTTAGGGTCATACTAAGACAGGATGTTTCTAATTGTACCAACATTTATGCCAATGAAAGACACAACGACACAACGTACTAGAGACTTGTTTAATGTGTGCATCAAAGAACGAGTGAGTCTCAAATACCAGCTGAGCCAGATCAGCTGATTTAGTGTAAAACCTGAAAACACGACCTGGTGTAACAAATGTCGATAATGCTTCTTTTTTCTTTTGCTTGCCTGTTAGCCCGTCATCTTATTTTTTAAACGGGAAAGATCCCAGTTCACCCCGTCCATGCTAGATATCTGAGAGAAGTTATGTGAAATATACTTTGAAATGAATGAAGGAGGATTTCTGTAAGATATGGATCACATATGGATCACATATGGGTCACGTGTGTGTGGCTGTTTTAGTAGGTTGTTAATGTGTACCCGCAGTTTGACTTGCCTTAGTGTTGTGTCATTCATATTCAGATATTGACCACTTGATTCCTGGAATCCTAGAATTAAATGAAGAGATGGTTAGGGTTAAGAAAGGGGAAGGTTCTACATTATACTGTTCTATGTGGTGATGAGATTATGTGATTAGTACAGTGTAATATTATAAAATGTAACAAAAGAAAAGTTAAAAAAAGAAGAAGGTATAACATAGTTTTATCTGAATATCGAAACTGCACGTCATCCACACCTTTATGTCTTTAAGGCATGTCTGTAACTTAACTAAATCATTTGTGTCGTCATGATTCTTTCATAGGTAAATATACCTGGATGTCATCTGCATAGCAGTGGTTATTTACCTATTGCCTTTATAAACTGCCAAAGAGTAGCATGTGTGACATGAAAAGTATTGTTCCTGGTGCAGAAGCCACTATATCTGACTTTTGCAGATATGGTTTCTTTACATTTCTTTTCATTTTAAGTTGACATAATACTTAACATGCTTTTGTTTCCTCAGGTGCACGCGGCGCCCCCGGCATTGGAAATGATGGTAGAAACGGAGAGCGTGGTGAGACAGGTAGTCCTGGTATCCCTGGACCTATTGGTCCAAGGGGGCTCCCAGGATCTCCTGGCTTTTGTGACCCATCAACCTGTATAGGCAGACATCCTCCACTTTATATGGTTGGTGGGAAGAAATCCATTGGCTACAAAAACCCATGACACACCCCAAGCTCACTGAAACACTCCAAATCTCATCCTGCCAGTGACCACATTTCAGGACTTGTCAAAGCACGGTGATCTTTGGAAGTCTCCATCTGAACCACGGAACGAGGAGACGCACAGGGAAACAGAACTGAGGCACAATTGGAGATTACTGGACAGATGTTAACTAACCCAACATTCAAAAACCGCTGTTACTGATCCCGGAGCAACTTCTGACTGATGGCAGGTCCAGGGCACACAAGTCACCCACCACAGTCACTCAATATCAATTCTGCTCTTTTAGCTAATATTAAAGTCTATTATGTGACCCATATTGAAGCGATCATGAGCCAATCTTATAGTGAAGCTAGGTTTTACAAAAAAAACCCAAAACCTGATACTAACATCAGACATGAGCTGATATCTTCAACCTGCTATTTAATTTAGGATCATACATTTGTTCCCCTCATTTTGTCAAATCGATGATCTTGTTCAAATGCTGCAATAAAGTGTTGTGTTTTGAAAGTGTGCCATCATGAAATTCCACAGCCTTTTTTGTCCAGACAAAAAATAACTCCCTGGGTTATTATGGATATAATGTTGATTCAGCAAGGCATTTCACAGTTGCCTGGTTACAAAGGAAAGTCAACACCATCCTCACCTCTGTCTGCACAACACAAACACACTCACAGATCAAATATGACTTTTATGTAAGCGGTTCGGAAGGAGTCGGCATAGGAGCCAGTCCAAGGACATCCCTTTCATCTAACAGATGTTATCGTGTTTATAGATGTGTACTGTAAGTGAATGGATGCTCAAGGTTCATGAAGCTTGGTATAGGAGAAGAGTGCAGCATGATTTCTATAATCAGGTTTAGACATAAAACATGATGGATGTCTCCGTCTTGGAATTGATTATCATGCATTAGTGGCAGAGCAGGGCTGGAGCTCTTGAATGAATGACATAAACATTTTCATTGTAAAGAGATGTGCATTCAATGAAACAGAATGGGTCTGCTTGTATTTCAGCATTACGTGAAAGAGCACTAGTACTGGCTTTTCAAATGACGAGGCAAAAGTCCGAGTTATAAAATGAATCTGTTCCAGTCTTTATTATACAGTACAGTACAGGTGTGGTTCGAATACTTACAATATGCTACTACTTTAAAATATCTTAGCACCGATTTATCAGGGAAATTTGGGAAAGGGTTAATAAAATGCAGTTAATTCATTACAACATGATTCTATTTGATCAAATCCTGATTAATTTAGCAGTATAACAGTACAGGTTACAGCCTCTATGCATTACAAATACTCTCCCTCACCATCCCTGATGCAACATCTGCTGATGTAACTGTAACGACCATTTACAAAACCACCAGACAGGTGGTTTGTTGCAATTTACAAATCGTTCAGTGGCAAATATGGGATGGGGAACATTTGGAAATGGTAGAAAGTGCAGGTCACATAGAGTCATGTTGATTCTACACAAAATGCATGTTTTTGAATTGCGTCAAATTGCTGTCATGTACCGAAGCTCTTAACTATAAGAGCTGCTCTGAAGGCACTGGTGGAGTAAAAGCTGAGACAAAAATAAGGAAGAGGGTTAGCTTAGCATTTCTAAGTTAGCTATTTAGTCTACAGTTTTGAATGACTCATTTTGGGGTATTAATGCAAGCTAAATTCAAGCTAGCTGAATATCTAATCCTGCCAGAACCATGAACAAAATAAGTCATTGTTAATTAGCTTAATGTTGCAGACATATGCAACAGCTACGGTAATATGTCAGACTTCTGGATTGAAGGATCCACAATCATGCCAGGGTTTAAACTCTGTGCTTGTAGCTGCACCAATCAAAATGAACATTGCTTCCACATCTGAAAGTGAAGCCAGTGTGGAAGTGTCTTATACATGGATTCTTTGTCAGCGTATGGCTGCAAAAAGGTCCAGTTGTAAGGAAAGTCTATGAGAAAATGGCCTTACCATTCACTTCATGACCTGCTTTAAGATGTTAATAGTTAGTGTGCCGTCTCAATCTCTAGTTTACAGCCTTCTGCACACATGACATATATATATTGTAATTTGCATTATAGAAAGAAACCAAGATAAAGCAGAGCCTGTTACTGAGAAGACACTGCTATATTTCTAAAAGTGATACAAAGGCTTTGCAAACTTGGCATCACCATGGCTATAATCTACAGTTTGCATCTACAGGCCTGTGCTAGATGGTTCATCCAATCATCTGCAAGGTAGTTTTCAAGAACGATTCCATTTTCGTGCAAGTTTTCCCCACAAAGACCGGAAGCTTTGTCTAACACGTGCTCTCTCTGTGGCTAGCTACACTGGCTGCTTGCTAGCTTTCAAGGCTAGGAACGCCCCTCTGGCAGTAATACATTTTGCGAAGCTATATTTGATTGCTTGTGGAGTAAACATTTTTCTATTTGCAATATGACAATGATGTATTTCCATTTTCCAAAACTGACAGACTAACTTTAACTCAACTGTTTATGAAAACGGCCTCTAGAACAGCCTCAGAAATATTGGTCAAGCTGAAAGCTCCTGTCAGCTTCACCACACAAACCTAAGTGCTGTCAAAGCTCTGTCTTCACTCTCTTCATAAATGATCTTGTGTTACGTAACCTGAGACAGAGATAATGACAAAGTATAATCAGCCATTAGATCATACTGTAAGATCTCTCAAGCTCACATTCACATGCGTCTTTATTTGAAGGAGTTTCTTTGTCCTTTTAAAATGAACATTATTTTTAATTGGTTCTAGATAACCAAGGTGTCTGAGGTTGGGAGGAACTCTAATTGGTCCGTGAGGGACATAAGACAAAGGGATTGTTCAAACTGTCACCACAACAGTCCGATCATCAAGATGCAAGAGATCGGCTCTCCAGTTTCAGGTTTCAGGGTACAAATAAGAACAGCAGTGTGTCAGGCACTTAATAAGCATCACCGAGACAGAGAGGAAGTGACAGGTTTAGGGAAAGCAGAGTGGAATAGGCCGCTTTTCAAGAAAGGTGAAAAAGGGCTGCAATTACACCACCTCCTCAAAGCTGTTTGCTGTTCAGGTCTACGTGTAGCTCAGAGAGAGTGACCGGAGCCGCTTCATTAAACATGAAAGCACAAATCTAACAGCGACACTGTTTGCTGTCTCATCTTCTGGAACAAATCAATACGTGGCATATATTCATGGTCAAAAGAGCAAACTTAAATGAAGTCCTTACAAAAATACAAAAAAAACTAGATATCCACCCTTAAATGTCACATGCACAAATACAAACAAGACTTCTGGAATGAAATCCTTCAAATCTCACCAAAGCATGAAATGACATTGCAGAGATGCTAATTTGTGGGTTGTGACAAAGAGGTCATTCCTGCCGCCTTCAGTTTATTCCCAGAATAAAATCTTGTTTCCCACCTGTCTAAATGAACCAAACAAACTGCATTACTTTAAAGGCGCATTTCTCTAAAAGGCATTTTATTTTTCCGTTTGTTTTTGCATCCCTGTGTCACCAAAAACAAATGCGATATAATAACATACATGCTGCTGTGGATGAAATGCAAATGATTCATCACTCGAACCGATTGAAGCTCCTCCGACACAAAACCCAGTGCTGCTGTTTGCATCTCACCGTCTGCCACCGTTTTCTCCCAATCAATGACCGGAAAAGTGACACCGAGTAATTACTGCGACTGTGTCAGTCACTGACTTAGTGAGCAGTGAATGACACGTGCTGCCTGATGCTAACTTGTGACGGGTGGCTGATGCAGAACGGTGTGAGGCAAGCAGCGAAGCGCCCGACTGAGATGATTACTGATGAAATGATATAATATCGAATAGCAGGATCTTTACTCCTGATGTTCGGGGCCGTGCCATCCATGTTATCTTCCTATATATTTACAGGAAGCATGCAAGTGAGGGAAAAAAAACTAGCTGCCCTCTTTATCCCATAATAGATCAGAAAGAAACTCCCACGTTGCTTAATCCCCATCCATCCCGATCGTCGTACCAAAATCAAAACATAGAACCTGACCGGCAGCACCTGTGGCTTCAGCCGTCTGTACTGAGGTTAACAAAAAAAAAAAAAGTTCTTGATTCTTGATTAAGTTCATAAATACAGCTGGTCTCCCAACTCTGCTTCGCTCTTCTTCTTTAAGTTCCCTTCACATTTTTGTTGTGGGGCCGTTGTGCCAGGCTGGCATAGTAGGCACACTGGGTTGGGTCGCACTGGCCAGCAGGGCCCGGAGGTCCAGGCTGACCGTGGGGGCCGGGGTTTCCTGGCTCTCCTTGGGCTCCGGCTTGTCCTGGGCTTCCGTCTTTGCCGTAACCAGGCATACCTGCTGGGCCTGGAACCGGAAGTAGAGCATTAAGGAAACTTATTAGAACTGGACCAGCTCTTCTAAGAGTCAGAGTATGTAAAATCCTTACCTATGGGTCCAACAGGACCTTTCTCTCCTCTTTCACCAATCCCGGGGTCTCCCTTCTCTCCCGTTGCTCCTTTCTCACCTGACACATACACAGAAACAGAATGAACAACGTTTATCAGTTTTAAGGCGAGGATGTGGTTCTCTCCTGCATTAAGCAGCTCAATTCATCACAGATTCTCATGCATTTACATATTTTTTCAGTTTCAGCCGTTAGATGTCTAAACCAGCGTGAAATATGGTCAGAGGCTGCTGCTGTGTGAAGTAGGTAGGGTGCTGCAGTGAACATCATGTCCTCATTATGCCTGCATCATCAAAGGGGTGAAAATGAAGCAAATCAAAGAGGAGGGGACTCCTGTCAGAATAAACCACTAAAACTCTTCAAGTTACGACTGGAAACGTTTAAGGACGACAAACTAGAACAGACATTTATCACAGTTTCCAGACATTGCACAGACTAAATAACTTCATTAAACAAGATCATAAACACCTCCAACCGGTGGCAGCAGATGGCCCCGCCCCTCCCTGAGCCAGAGGTTTCTTCCTGTTAAAAGGGAGTTTTTCCTTCCCACTGTCGCTAAGTGTTTGCTAATAGCGGGTCGTCTGTTGGGGTTTTCTCTACCCTACAAAAGTACCTTGAGGCAACTGTTCTTTCAATTGAATTGGTTCCTGTTTAGTTTTTAAAAAGTTTTGGATGCATGTCATGTTAGCTGTACAGTTTTACTGTTAGTTTGGAGTTCTCTGTCTTTATTTAGCATTGGTTCCTTTGGTTTGCTGTTTTTGACGTTTAGTTCTGTGCATACCTTTCAGTATGCATAGTGACTTTCCAGATGTGCAAGCTTCCAATTCCATTTGGCACTAATGCACCCCCGGTACCATGACGGATAGAGTCTTTTGAACGGAGTACTGATAAGAAGTCATCTGTTATTAATCTCTGGCTCTCTTCCACATCATGTCTTTTATCCTGTCTTCTTTCTCTCACCCCAACCGGTGGCAGCAGATGGCCCCGCCCCTCCCTGAGCCTGGTTCTGCTGGAGGTTTCTTCCTGTTCAAAGGGAGTTTTTCCTCCCCACCGTCGCCAAAGTTCTTGCTCAGTGGGGTCATATTCTGACTCTGATTCTGACATGATTGAGGGGTTTCACTCTGCACCTTGAGACGACTGTTGTTGTGATTTGGTGCTGTATAAATAAAATTGAATTGTTTTCCAAAAGAGAATATATATTTTTAATGTGACCACGGCTTTCTGCCTAGTTACATATAGTCAAAGTCTAAACCTGTGTTTGAATTCTCTTCTGATATTTCTTCTTCGCTCTCAGACTTAAAACCCACCAGAGCTGTCTTACGCACATTTACCTTTAGTTTAATGAAACATGCATTTTGCCAACTTTCCTTCCTGGCTTCAAATAAGCTGAACTTTATTAATACAGTAGCTCTTCTCCAGTCTTACTGTCCAAAACATTTAAGGCCCTCACAGATTCATATAGTGCTTTTAAAACTAAACTACTCCAGCTCTTTTCCTCCTACTCACCACTGCTTTGTCTGCAGCAGCTGTGTTACTTTTAAGTCTGTAATGTGTATTTAACTCTTTTTCCACCTAATATTACAGGTTTATCTTACTTTGTAAACATCAGCTACTCTGTTTCCAGCACACTTTCCGTATTCATGATTGGTCAGATGATTTTGCTGCTGTGTTAGAGGTTGATCACCAGTTTCGTGCGACCTTTTTCCTGATTGTAATTGGGATCAGCTAACGGAACGATACGCTGGGCATGCTGAACTCACTTCATCGTACAGGACTCTGCTCCCAGGTTTAAATTTATGGATATGTTGGTTTGACAACTAAACAAAAAGCTGCTTTGAAGAACAAAAAAAGCTGATCAGCTCCCACAGGATCAAACAGCATACTGACTCTATATTACAGCCAACCTGCTAGTTTATGACAGAACTGCATCGGCTATGGAATGACTTCAATGACCTCAGTAGATAAAAAAAAATCCACTCGGGCTTGTTTACCATTAATTTTAAACAGGATGCACGCAGTGATTCAGGCATTTAGCGTCTACAAACCCGTCAGCTTCTTTCTTTTTTCTCTTTCTCAGGAGACATTTTGACATGTCACAGCAGGGTGAACGCAGGCAGAATTGATCGGATTAACTATGTCCTGTTTACGCCGTCACAGGCAGGAAAGAAGGCCACTATGAAAGCCACAGGGACGCTTGTAAAAGGAGCATGGTCAGAATTCGCGTTACACCTGTGGTTACCTGATAATGTCATGTTGAAACAGCTGCTGTGAAGACGGCATGCATAACGTTTGTCTCAGGGAGCCCTAAGATGAAAGTTTAAAGGAGCAGCTGGTGTGAGGCGCACGAACGCAGACAGGACGAAGTCTCAACTCAACCACCACTGTTCCACTCTCTCTCAGTCTCTGACATGAAATCTCTCTGGACCTCATCAGTGACTTAACAAGCACAAAA